ACTGATAAAATATATATATATATATATCACATATGTCATCATATATAAGATTTAAATACTTAATTTATCATAATAAATTTATTATACTTTTATATATTTTTCTAAAATTATAATGTATTTTTTTTCTTAATTAATAATCATATTTCTCTTAATAAATTAGAGTACATATACTATTTTTTTTATAATTAATATAGTTTAATTTTTTAATTAATTAAAATACATATTTATTAAAAAAGTCTATAATTAATGTATTCCATCAAATTTTAAAAAAAATATTTAATTAAATTATTTTAATTTAAAAATAATAAATACATCAAATATTTTTGGATTGAGTGTTATATAAAGAAATAAATAATTATTTTATGCTGGATATAATAGATAGGAACAGATGTAATATTAAATTTATTTGTAATTTTAATTTTTACATTATGTTATACTTTTTTTTTATCTATTATAGATAAAATAATAATAATTTTATGTATATTTAAAAAATTAGTTTTTTACATTAAATTTTACTAATATCATAGTAGTTTTGCTAAATTTTTCTTATTATAAATGTTAAAAAAAAAAAGAGTATTTAATGTTTTATTAATTTTTTTTCTTCTAGATATTTTCATTAAATTTAAGTAGTAAATATATCTTACGAAATATAGTAAATTAAATATTAAAATTTTTTAAATATTAATTTATGTAATGAAAACATACGTTAGGTTAAAAAATAGTTTTTTATTACGAAATTTAATTTGTGTTTCAATGTTCATCTTAATTTAAGTAAATAAATATTTTTAAAAAGGCTTAAATATATCTTTGATCTCCATAAAATGAGTATATTTTGATTTTAGTTATTTAAAAAAAAATCTTTATTTTTCATCATTCTAAAATTTGAAACTAATGTTTTAATCCTTTTTACTGTGTGACATTTATTTTACCACTTATGTGTTTATTAGAAGGTTATGTGATTATTTCAAGTAATGTCTATAATTGTCTATGATAAATAAAATACATTTTATTTTTTTATATAAATTTTTAAAATAAGTTTTACACATATATCTTAAAATGGTCATCAGGGACCAAAAATAGTAATTTAAAATTTTAGAGGAATAAAAATTAAAAAAAAATATTTTACAAAAATTAAGATCAAAATTTGTTCATTTTACAATAACCAAAACTAATGTTTACAAAATTTAGAAGAATCAAAAGTAAACAAACAAATTTTATAGGGACAAAAATTAAAATTCACTAATTTTACAGAGTTTAAAAACATATTTAAATCTTTTAAAAATATACCAAATAAATATTAATTAATTATAATTTTTATTTAATAAACAGATGAATGGATCCTCGAGGACTTTTAATTAACTAATTGTAATTATAGCAAATAATTTTTTAATAAATATTTTATTTAATTAATTATAAATTTAATTATATATGATGACTTAAAGCAACCAAAGTTCATTGGTTCACCTA